AGGGGGAGTGTCAGGGTTGGGGCCGACCCGAAAAGCGGAGCACGCACGCGCGTGCATCTGAGGCGGAGATGCGTGGGCAGAGGCGCACCGGAGAGGGAGGACGCGCCGAACATGGCGGTCAGGGCCGCCGGCCGGGGGAACCAGCTCATAGTGCTCTGGAGAGGAAGGCGGATAGGGGGGGGGGGGGAGGTGGGGCGAGCGTGTGTGGGCTAACTCGTGCGCTGATGGGCTGGGGAGCGGGCAAAGTAAGAAGGGGGGAGATCGGGGGAGGGGGAGGGCTGCTGGCGGGGCATGTTCGGTGCAGGCTGGATGGGCCAGGCCGGCTGAAAGGCCGGCGGCCACCTCGCGGGGCAGCACGCACCCGGGGCGCGTGATCTGCGGCATCGCTTGCCGGCCGGTGGCGCCATCCGGGCTCCACACCAGGCCCCGACGTGCGATGGCAGTTGGGCGGGCGTCCCTCGTGCCACTGGCGCCCCTGCACTAGAGATCGGGTCACTTGCTGGCGGCCCAAACACTGGCTGGTGTGAATGTGTGTGTGCGTGCGTGCGTGTGTGTGCGTGTGCGGGTGCGTGCATCTCTTTCTACATCCTGTCTTTACGGGGTGTGCGCGTGTGCGCGAGGGGAGGCTTGGTTGGTGCTCTTCGGCAACCAAGCCCTGCCCCAGGGAAGCATCCCTACACAGTCCCCTCTTGCCCCTTCCTCCCCCTCCTCTCCCTCGGTCCTCCCCCAAGCACATTTATATAGAAGCCCGCATCCCGACGGGCAAGCGCAATCAAAGCACGCATACAAACACACAAAGGCAAGCATCCGGGCCAGTCGATAGTTTGGCAGGCAGCCCGACACCTACGCAGGAAACTCAACCGACACGCCAGGGGGAGCACTCGTCCTCTCCCTCCCTCCCTCTCTCTCTCTCTCTCTCCACCCTCTCCCCTCTCTCTGTCCCTCCTCCCCATTCCGCTTGTTCGTTGATACATGTCCGGGCCCAGCGGGTCCTTCCTCCAGGGCGCAAGCCCGATGCCCGGGTCACTGATGTCTCTCTTTGGTGCTGAGTCGGCGAGCACCCCGAAGATCGAGACGTCCGCCCCCCGGGAGGCCCCGGCCCCGACCCCGGGGCAGGAGTACATCCTGGACGGGGTGACCGTGCGGTTTCCCTTTCAGGCATACCCCTCGCAGCTGGAGGTCATGGCCGGTGTCATTCAAGCGTGCAACCGCGGCGAGAACGCCCTGCTCGAGAGTCCGACCGGCTCCGGCAAGAGTCTGGCCTTGCTCTGCTCGAGCCTGGCTTGGCTGGAGATGGAAAAGCGCCGGCGTAACACGGTGTACATTCGCCGCCTGGACCTGATTGACACGCCGGATGAGCCGCCCGTCGCGGCAGCCCCGGCCGTTGAGTTGGAGCACTCGCCCTTCTTTGCGGCCGGGCCCAATGGAGCTGGCGGCGCCTCCGAGACCCCCAGTCTGCCGGCATCCAATGCCGACCTCACCGCCACCGCCAGCATGCCCTCTTCGCAGGTGGACATCCCCGCGCCTGGCAGTCCGGGGCCTGAAAATCCGGCGCCCGACAGCCCGGGGCTCAACAGTCCGACGCCAGGCGCCCAAGTGCCCAGCAGCCCGGGGCTCAGCAGTCCGGGCAAGCCAAACGCCAGCCCAGCCAAGCCGGCCAGCAGCCCGACCAAGTCGGGTTCCAGTGATGCAACCGAATGTCCAAAGGTACGCTGCTGTTGCTGCTGCTGCTGTTGCTGCTGCTGCTGTTGCTGCTGCTACTCTCCCTCCCTCTCTCTCTCTCTCTCTACACTCTTCTTCCAGCCGATGTCCCACCCGGCGGGGCTGACCCATCCTTGCTCCCGCGGCCAAGATTTACTTCGCCTCGCGCACACACAAGCAGGTGTCACAACTCGTGTCCGAGCTGGCCGCCTCGTCATATCGTCCACGCATGGCGGTACTCGCCTCCCGCGAGCACTACTGCGTCCTACCAGCCCTCACGAACAAGGCCAACAAGTCCGAGGAATGGTACGTCCGAGCGATTCCCCCCTCCCCGTCTTCCTCTCTCTGCTTACTGTCCTCGCCCTCGCTCTGGCCTCGCCCTGGTCCCTCCCCTCCCCTCACCATGCCACCTTGTCGACTTCCCTCCCCCCCCCCCTCCTGCATTATCGCAGCCAACGCCTTCTGAAGAACCGCGAGTGTAGCTACTATCGGAGTTTCAGTCGCCTGCTGACCGAGCCACTTGTCGGCCCAGGCAGTGTCTGGGACATTGAAGACCTTAACAGTTTGGCCCGATCGAAGCGCGGTGCGTCGGCCATGCATGCCCTTTCCCCCGGTCCCCTCAGCAGCCTGGCCCCCCCGTCTGACGCCCTTGTCTTGGATTCAATGCCCGGGCCTTGTTTTTTTCTTTCCCCCGGCGACACAGCCTGCTCGTACTTCGCCTCGCGCGAGTTGATCAGCACCGCAGACATTGTCTTCTGCCCGTACAACTACATCATCGATCCCTGTGCGTTTGGGGTTTGGCCTCACCTGCCCGCCGTCCAGCTGTGGCTGACTTCTCCCTCCCCCCCCCCCCTCTCTCTCTCTTTCCCTCTCCTGCCATGTGTATGTGCATGTGCCCATCCGCCTTCCCCTGGGGTTGTCTTTTGTGCGCAGCCATCCGCGAGTCGATGGGCATTTCCCTGGAGAACAGCATTGTCATCATCGATGAGGCGCATAATGTCGAGGACTCCAGCCGCGATGCCGGCAGCTTCCACATCACGCTTGACGCGCTTGACTGTATGTCATCCTACATGTGCCCCATAGCTCGCCTCCCCCCTCTTTCTCCTTCCCATTCGTCCTGGCCTTCGCTGACCCTTTTCCCGGTCCCTGCCGCAGCCATTCGCATTATGATCCAGCGGACTGGACGCGATGACTTCGCACCCATCTTCGAGGTATGCCCATCCGCCCGCTCGTCTCCTTCTGTTGGTCTCACCCCACTCATGATCCCTGTTTCCCTGCCCCCGCCCCCCTTCCTCTTCCTCCTCTGCATTCCTCTGCGCCTTTCCCTGCTGCTAGGCACTGTCTCTCTTCCTCCAGTTCTCCAGTGCTCGGTTGGACTCCGCACAGAACACCGGCTTCGAGCAGTACCAGTCCATGTACGCCGGTTTCGCCCCCCCCCCCCTCCCCCCTCCCTCAACTCCCTTTTGCCCTTCCCCCTCTTGCCATTTTCACCCGGGGGCCCCCTTTTTGCCCTTGGGATTTCCTCTCACCACCTTGTGCTCGGGCCTGCCTTTTCAGCATCGAGAGCAGCCAGCTCTACCGCGAACTGGCCGGTCTTGGCCTGACAGGCGAATCGGTGCGGACACTGCTGCACCTGGCCGGGCAGCTGAGCGACTATGTCGAGGGCCTGTCCGAGGCCTTGTCGGACGTCGCGCCGTCCGGCGGCCCTTCCGACATGGATTGGGTGTACACCGCCTCAGGACCGCTCCTTATGCTAAAAAGTGCGCTCCCTCCCCTCACCTCCCGTTTCCCTCCCACCCTCGCTTGCTCGCTCGCTCTCCCGCCTTCCGTCGGATGGCACAAAGTCGCCTGTACCCCGCCGGCAAATGACTCACTCCCCTGGGTTTGCATAGACTTCCTTGGCTCCCTGGCACTGGTGTTCCAGTCGCAGCCAAGCCCCACTCGGCCTTTGATCCCCGGGTCCCCGGGGGACTTTGTGTTGGTCTTCTCCAAGGAGCCCGTCTACGATGGATGTGCGTTATGCCACTGCTCCCTCCCTCCCCCCCCCCCCCCTCTCTCTCTCTCTCTCTCCATTTCTCTGCCACACCCTGGACGTTGCACACTGCCCCGACTTGCCGGTTGACCCAGACTTTGGCTCGCCCTCCTCCTCTCGACACAGCCACTCGCAACATCGAGCATTCGGTCAAGATCTGGTGCCTCAACCCGGCGGCTGTCTTCAAGGCCGGCGTCAGTGACCTGGCCAAGTGTGTCATTCTCACCTCCGGAACGCTCTCGCCGGTTCGTTTGCCTACTACCTTCCTGGCCGGAATGCATGCGCCTCGCCCCCCCCCCTCCCCCCCTTCGCCCTTCCCCCCTCCGCCAATGTTTGACCGTATGTCCCGTGGCCAGATGGACTCCTTCGCCTCGGAGCTCGGCGCGCCCTTCCCCATCCGCGTTGAGGCCAACCATGTCATTCCCCCGACATCAGTGCGTGGTTTTGGCCTGTGCTTGATCTGCCCGACGCCCGGTCACTCATGTCCCATCTTCGCACCTCCCCCCCTCCCCCCCCCCACTTCCTCTTCCGGATTGGCATCGTTGTCTCTCGACTGGGGCAGGTCTTCGCCGGGGTGCTGACCAAGGCCGGCCCAAATGGCCAGCCCCTGCGGGCAGTCTTCACCAACATGGAGAACCTTGCGTTCCAGGACGACGTCGGTCAGTCGATCCTGAATGTGTGCCGCAACGTGCCAGATGGTCCGCGTCATGCCGCCACTTTCACCTCCCCGGTCGTAATGCCTGCCTGCTGATTCTCGCGCCCCCACAACTGCATGCTCCGTCTTCCCTGCGTCCGGATGGCCCAGGCGTGTTGGTTTTCTTTGCCAGCTACAACATCATGGACAAGCTGCTCAAGCGCTGGAAGGCCACCAACATGATGAAGGAACTCCGCGCGCTGAAGAACGTCATCCAGGGTGCGTCCGGGGTCCGGGGTCGCCTCGCCGCCCTGCCTGTCGCCCCGGCGGGCCAGCGGCAAGGGCCCATGCTCCTTCTTGGTCTTTCCGTCTCTTTCTCCCTTTCCGGGTCTTTCTCTCTCTATTTCTCTTCTCTCTCTCTCTCTCTCTCTCTCCCCCGCCCCCCCCCGGCAAGTGACCTGACATAGCCATGTGCACGCCATCCCAGAGCCACGCTTTGCCACCAAAAAGACCTTTGACCAAACCATCGACGAGTACACAAGCTCCATTTATCCCCTGCGCGGTACGAAGAGCGCCCGCAAGCGCCCGCGCACCATGAGCGACTATTCCACGCCCCGGGGGGCGGTGCTGTTTGCCGTGTGCCGCGGCAAGGTCAGCGAGGGGATTGACTTCTCGGATGGCCTGGCCCGGGCGGTGGTGGTCGTCGGCATCCCCTACCCGAATGTGTATGTGCCAGTGTCGCTGGTCTTCTCTTGCTTTGCTCCCCTGCCTGTGGGGTATCTCTGCCTCCATGACCATAACCGGCAGCGCCACATGTTCGGGACGTGCCTCGCTCCCGGCCGCATATTCTGATTTTATCCATCTGTCCCTCAATCTTCCCCCCCCCCCCCCGCTCCTCTGCCCTCCTGGCTCGCCTCTCCATCGTCCAGGCGCGACTCGCAAGTGGAGCTCAAGCGCCGATTCAACACCAGCCAGGCGCGGCACTTTGATAATAACCCGGTTTTCGTGGAGGGCCGGCGCCAGGCGAATCCCTGCATGAATGGCGATGCCTGGTACGAAGCGCAGGCCTTCCGCGCGGTGAACCAGGCCTTGGGCCGAGTCATTCGCCACATCAACGACTGGGGGCCATTGTCCTGTGCGATGAGCGCTTCCGTCAGCCGAAAAACCGGTTCCTCCTGTCCAAGTGGATGCGTCAGCTGGTCAAGGTGCATGAAGTTCCTGGGGTTCTGTTCGAGGAGCTCGGAGCCTTTTCCCGCTTCCACACGGACAAAGCCCTGCAAGAGGCCCCGTCGGCCGGGGCCGCTGGCCCACCCCCCGCCGGAGCCGACTCCCCTGCCCATGATGATCTGCCGACGCCCAAGCGCCAGGCCCTCTCGGGTGGGGATCACCAGCAGCCGTACATTTTGTCGCTGCTCAAGAACATGAAGCGCCCGGCCGGCGGGGGGGATGTCTCTCCCTCGGGCCCGGGGGCCTCCTCTTGCGGGGCCTCCCCCGGGGGGGGTGGGATGTCCCCCTGTGCCGGGCGTGGTGGTGCTCCCTGCTTGGACATCAAGTCGGAGTCGGGCCCGGAGCCGCGCGAGCATTTGGCCCTGGCCCTGGAGCCGGAGCCGGACCCGGGGTCGGAGCCCGGGCCAGTGGGCACCGGTGCCCTGGCTGCCGCAGTGGCCATGGACTCACCCTTGCCCGGGCCGTGCTTGCCTCGGCTGCCGGATGTGTGCTTGACTTTGGGGTGCTGTGCGCCGGCCATGCGCCGGGTGGTTCTCGGGGCCGGGGCCCCGGTGGCCGGGCTCTGCTCGCTGGTGCTGCCCTGGAATTCGCCGGTCCTGGCCCAGTCGGCCGAGCTGCTGGACTCCCTGCGTGAGGTGTTCCCCCGGCCGAGCCGGGCGGCGGCCCTGCCGCCCTCGCTCCAGCGCATCGACATGCTCTTCGTCCGGGTGGACTCGGGGTCGATGGCCGCCACGCTGGCCGGGGCCGGGAGCCCTGCCGGCCCGGGCGCCGGGCCCCTGGTCCCGGCCAGCGTCGAGTCGCGCATCTTCCTGTCCGTGGCCCCGGGCCAAGTGATGGCCATCAGCCGTGGCAACACGGCCTTCGACTTTGCCAATTGGGCGGTCTTCACGCCGCTCTTCCTCCGGCACGAGGGCTGCAGCCAGACCGTCGGCGGGCACTCCCCGGCCCCGGTGGCCCTGCACATGTACTTCCCGCCTGGCGGCGCCGTCGGGGCGGGCCCCGGCCTGCTGGAGGCCATGCTGGCGCTCCTGTGCCCTGGGCATGGCGCCGGCCGGGGTGGCCCTGCTGCCCGGCCACAGGCCGGGGTTCACTTCCTGGCCTTCAGCGCTGTGGCCCTGGATCCGCCGCTGGCGGCGGGCAGCGGGTCGACCGTGGCCGGCGGAGCCCCGCCATGAGTGGCCCCGATCGCGGCGCCCTGCTGCCCATGCGTTGGCAGTGCCTTCCCGATCTGCGCGCCTTTCTTTTTTGCCCGGCGCGCTGTCGCCGCCGCGGGCGTGGCGGGGGGGGGGGGGGGGG